TACAAGGGACTAACCATCCAAGCTGTATCTTATGTTGAAGGGCTCAATTACAACCTTCTTAGCATAAGTCAGTTTTGTGATAAAGGTTACTCCTTGGAATTCTGCAAGGACATGGCATCTCTTAAGAACATATCCACTAATGAAGTCATTCTCACTGGGAAGAGAATCAGGAACATCTATGAAGTAATGTGGGATAATGTCAAGGAAGCATGTCTAATCAGCAAAGGTGACACTAACCTTCTATGGCTTTGGCATAAGAGGTTGAGTCATCTCAACTTCAAAACTCTCAACAAGTTGTCCAAAGAAGGGTTAGTAGAAGGTCTTCCCAAAGCTGCATTCAGAAAGGAAAGTATTTGTGATGCTTGCCAAAAAGGAAAGCAAGTCAAGTCCACCTTCAAGGCAAAATCGGCACCCTCAACTACAAGGATATTAAGTCTTATTCACATGGACTTATTTGGCCCTGTTACACCAATAAGTCTAAGTGGAAAGAAATATGTCCTTGTGGTAGTTGATGATTACTCAAGATACACGTGGACAATCTTCCTCAACGGCAAGAAGGAGACTCAAGGGAAACTCACCAACTGCATGAAGCTAATTCAAAACCAAGCAAGTCAGACCATTCAAGAGATCAGATCTGACAAAGGCACAGAATTCCTGAATGAAATCATCATTCACTACTGCGAAGAAAACGGAATTCTTAATCAGACATCTGCAGCAAGAACACCTCAACAAAATGGTGTAGCTGAAAGAAGGAATAGAACTCTGAAGGAAGCAGTGAGAACCATGCTAGCAGAAGCTTCCTTACCAAAGAGGTTCTGGGCTGAAGCAGTTAACACAGCCTGCTACACTCAAAATAGGAGTATGATTTATAAAAGGCACAACAAAACTCCCTATGAACTGTGGAATGGGAGAAAGCCTAATATATCATATTTCCATATTTTTGGGAGCAAGTGCGTTGTGTTAAACAACGGGAAGAATCATCTGAACACTTTTGATGAGAAATCAGATGAGGCCATCTTCCTAGGATATTCCATGGTAAGCAAGGCGTTCAGACTCTTCAACAAAAGAACCCTGATCACTGAAGAGTCAATACATGTCATTTTTGATGAAAAACATGTGATTGACAAACCATCAAAACATGATCATGAGGTTCTGGATTTATGAGACAAGGATGAAGAAGTTAATAAAGAAGATAGAATGAAGCACACGGAATTCATTCCATTCAGAAGTCTGCCTCTGAAGATTTCACAGAGAAATCTGGATTCAGACGGTGCTGAGCCCTCCGGAAATTTTGGCCAGCCTTCCAATATTCCGGATATCTCAAACGGCGACAATTCCGGAAATGGCGACCCAGTGCCAATCCATCCGGAAACACCAACAACTTCTGTTCTTCAACCAGAAGCTGAACTAAATCAAACAGTCAATCCCAATCAACACAATCTTCGTTGGTTAAGGGATCATCCTTCTCAACAGATCATTGCAGATATTCAATCTGGTGTTCGCACAAGGAGTGCCCAACAGAATCTAGAAGCTATGCTTGCCTGTTTCATCTCACAAGTAGAACCAAAGAATATTCAAGAAGTTATAGCTGATTCTGATTGGATCAATGCAATGCAAGAAGAACTCAACCAGTTTTCCAGAAATGATGTCTGGAAACTTGTTCCCAGACCTACTCATTAACATGTCATTGGGACAAAGTGGGTCTTCCGGAACAAGATGGATGAAAACGGCGTTGTTGTCAGAAACAAGGCCCGGTTAGTTGCTAAAGTATATTGTCAAGAAGAAGGTATAGATTTTGATGAAACCTTCGCTCCAGTTGCTAGACTTGAAGCTATAAGGCTGTTTCTAGCCTTTGCTACTCACAAGGACTTCAAAGTCTATCAAATGGATGTCAAAAGCGCATTTCTCAACGGAAACCTAGAGGAAGAAGTGTATGTAGAAAAGCCTCCAGGATTTGAGTTACACACCAAGGGAGATCAAGTGTATAGACTCAAGAAGGCGCTATATGGACTCAAACAAGCACCAAGAGCTTGGTATGATACATTGTCTCAATTTCTTATAGACAATGGATTTACCAAAGGAGTAATTGACAAGACATTATTCAAGCTACAAGATGGAGAAGATCTCCTATTAGTTCAGATCTATGTGGACGATATCATATTTGGCTCAACGAAG